GGGGAGGAGGATTGGACGATGAGGACCTCCTCTGAAATTCACTTCCGCACCTTTCCTGATGAGTTTGCGTGCCAGAGGTTGAAGGTGGAATCCAGCCGCGGCCACGAGAAGTCTCAGACCCCCCCCGAATATATGTATATATATGGAAGGAAAAAGCGCAGAAGAACTTCAATCCTCAAATCCCAGTCCTCGATCGAACGACGCCGAACGACGACCGACGACCGACGACGACGACGGCGCCCTGAACTCTCTGGAAGCCCCTGGAGGTTCCCAGAGGTTTCCCGAAGCCTTCCGAGGCGGAAACCCCATAGAAAGCCCCAAGAAACGCCCGAAGTGTTCAAGGAGGCCAGCGCGCGTCCAAAAACAGCGACGACCCCCCTGCCGCGGAGGCACCTGCCGACTCGGAGGGGGAGGGAGGAGGAGGAGGAGGAGGAGGAGGAGGGAGGAGGAGGAGGAGGAGGAGGAGGCTCAAGGAGGAAGAATATCAAGTCGCGCGCAGCCGCTGCCCGGCCGCCCCCCTCCTCACCTGCTCTTCCCCCTTTCATTCCGCACCTTCCTCCCGCCCCTCACGCAATTGCCCCTGGCGCTTGGGCAGCTGCGCAGCCGGCGGCGGTCGCCCCACTGGGGATGGAGAGCGACGTGAACGTAGAGGAGGAGGAGGATGTCCAGATGCAGGAGGGGGGCGAAGCGGCGGCGGCCGCGCCTTCTGGAGCAGCCCAATTTGGCGGCGCGCCCGGCGCCGCTGCTGCCCAGGGGAGCGCCGCAGGCGCTGCTGCCGCCGCTGCCGCGCCTGGGGCTGCTGCTGCGCCGCCTGCGCCGCCCGCGCCACCGCCTGTCGCTGCCCCTGGAGCGCCCGGCGGGGTGCGAGTCCGAACATGGGGGGCGAGCCTCCAGCCTCGACGCAAGCGAGTGGCAGTGTGTGTCTTGTGTTGCTCGGGGTTCGAGCCGGAGGAGGCGCGGCTGGCGAGCGCAGCCCACCCGGACCGGCACTTCCGCCACCCGTGGTGCATCCCAGGAGGCATCCCCAGGGGCGGTGTGCAGGGCCTGGCTGCTCTGCCTGAGCGTGCCCGCGGGCAGGTTCTGGCATGCGTCGCTCCGGCCCGGGCGCCCGACGCCGACGAGGGGGGGGGGGGTTCGCCTACCCGCGACGCCCCGCCGCGCCACACCGAGGCCGCCGAGGCGGGGGAGCTGCCCGGCCATTCCTGGTGGGCCCAGTTTGATTTGAACGCAGCGCTCCTCGAGCCGGTGCCGACGTGGACCGCCATCCCGACGAGCCTGGACACGGCCGTCGGCGACATCTTGGCGGCCGCGTGCCGCGCCGTGGCGGCCCGGCCAGGCGACGAGGGGGCTTGGGCGCAGCTCCTCATGCTCCCGCGGATGCTCTTCGCCATCCCGCCGCGCTCCGAGAGCGACGAAGACTGGAACTCCGCGACCAAGGTGGTGGCGAACCGCTTACGCAAGGCTCGGGCGGGGGATTGGGCGGCCTTGTGGGCCGAATCCGCGCGCCCAGGCGAGCCGGAGACGGGGGCGGCGCAGCCACGGCGCAGCATGGAAGCTCGGGCCCTCCGCGTGCATGAGCCCCTGATGCAGGGCGGGGTCAGCCGGGCTGCTGCGGCGGCAGCCGGGCCCAACAGGCTGGCCACAGGCGCCGGCGTGGCGGACCAGCTGGCGCAGCTGTTCCCGACGGCGCCCGCGCCTCGCGGCCCCCCGCCACACGTGGCTCCCACGACTTGGGAGGGAGAGGCGGCCACCAAGATCTGTGGGGCCCTGAACAAATTCCTGAGACACTCGGGGCCGGACCTGACGGGCGCGCGGTTCTAGCGCTGGGCGGCGATCCGCGGGCGTCCGGATGGGCCAGAGGTTGTTGCACAAGTCTTGGAGCTGATCTTGCGCGGCCAGATGCCGGAGCGAGCGGCTCGGGCCATGCTGGGAGGCAGGCTCTTGCCCTTGCGCAAGCCGCCCGCGGGCATCCGCCCACTGGCGTGCGGCGAGACACTCAGGCGCGTGGCGGGCAAGGCGGCCACCGACGCCCACAAGACTGCCATCGCCGCAGCGGTGGGGCCCCGGCAGTTTGGGGTGGGCAGGAAAAACGGCACTGAGGTCATGCAGCGGGTGATCGCCGGCGCCGTGGAGAAGTCGCCGGACAGTGCCCTGCTCAAGCTGGACGTGTCGAACGCCTTCAACGAGGTCCACCGGGACATTGTGCTGCAGGCGGTGTCGACGAAGTTGCCCGAGCTAGCCGGCCTGGCGGCCGCGTGGTACGGGGGCGCCACGACGCACGGAGCCCACCTGCCAGAAGGGAGCGTCCAGCCGGTGCGGGCGGAGCGTGGCCTTGACCAAGGGTGCCCGCTGTCGCCGGCCTTCTTCGCCGTCGCCGCGGCAGACGTGCACCTCGCTCTCGAAGCGGCGGCCGCCGTCGACCCAGAAGCGCGCCTGCTGGCCTACCTGGGCGACAGCTACCTCAAGGCAACGCTGGTGGCGCTGGAGGCAGCGTACGCCGCCGCCCCCGCCGCCTTCGGCCGAGTCGGCCTCAGGGTGAACGACGACAAAACGCAGGTCTGGAACCATTGGGGTCTGCAGCTCCCAGCGTCCCTGGCTGGGAAGGTCGCGCCGCAGATGCAGTGCCTCGGGTCGCTCCTGCCGTTCGTGCGCGGCGGAGCGGCGACAGAAGGGCCGAGCGCAGACCCAGCGAGGGTGAGCTTCCTGCCGACGGCGGCCCCCGCGGCAGCGACCGAGCACCTGACCGCCTACCTCGGGAAGCTGCGCGGCCTGCGGGCGCACGGGCTCGTGGCGCAGGACGAGGTGGTCCTCGTCCGGACTTTCGCGAACGGGGCGGCGCTTCACCGCGCGCGGGCGCACCTCCTTGGCGAGGAATGGTGCCAGGACTACGACAACAAGGTGGTGGGGCACCTGGAGGGCTTGCTCGGGCGCCCTCTGCCGCCGGACGCGCGGGCGCAGCTCTTCCTTCCCCTGGCAGAGGGCGGGGTGGGCTTGCACAGCATGTCCCAACGCCGGCTCGCCGCCTTCGCTGGCTCGTGGCTCGGCTGCCTGGCAGACGTCCGGCGGGAGCTGGGCGAAGCCAGCTTGGGGGCGTTCGCCTCGAGCTGCCCGGCACTCTGGCGCGCGGCGGAGCGGGCGGGCAACGAGCTCCGGCTTGGCGCCCACGAGTGGCACAGGGCCGCGGTGGAGCCGAAGCGCAAGGCACAGAAGGCGCTCGCGCACCACGAACGAGACGATAACAAGAAGCGGCTCCTGGCAGGGCTGCCACCAGAGCAGGCTGCCCAGCTCCGCTCGGCCAGCGGGAAAGGCGCCGGCAGCTGGCTGCTCCCGCCGACGCAGGGCGACCACCGCCTGGCGGACGAGCACTACCTGACGGCGCTGGCACTGCGCCTCCGCCTCCCGAGGCCTGCCGACGCCTGCGCCACCTGCCAGCGCCGCCGCGCCGACGGGCACCTCTGCGGAGCGGACCTTGCGCGGGCCCCGACTCGCCCCCTGGGCTGCCATGCTGGGGCGGGCACGATAGCGCGCCACAACGCTATCCGCGATTGGCTCGCGCGCTGGCTGAAGGGGCGCGGGGCGAGGGGCGTGGGCACCGAGCAGCTCGTCCCCGCCTGGGATAGGACCCGCCAGGGCGGCAGCCTGGAGGCGGCGCGACTCGACGTGACCTACGTGGACCCGGTCGTCGGCACCGCGTACGTGGACGTCGTGGTGACCGACGCTGCAGCCGGGGCCGCGACGCCGGCGGGGCGGGGCCAGGCTCGGCGCAACGGGGCCGCGGCGGCCGCTGCGGAGGAGCGCAAGCACCGCCGCTACCCTGGCGCGGCGCTGTGCGCGTTCGCGCTGGAGACGCTGGGCCGGCCTGGGCGCGAGGCGCAGGACCTCCTGCGCACCTGGGCGGCGGGCGACGCGGCTGTGCTCTCGGCGGCGCGCCAGAGCGTGGCCGCCGCGCTGCAGCGGGCCAACGCCGAGGCGTACAACGCCTCGGTGTGGCCACTGGGGCGGCGCGCCCGGCCGCGCCCCTTGAGGCGCTGAGCGCCAGGGCGGCCTGCTGCTGAGGCGCGCGCAGGGCGCGGCGCACGCGCCGCGCCCGGGCGCAGGGGCACCTGGAGCTGACGACGCCGGGCGCCCGGCGGGCGGCGGCGGCGCTTGCGGCGGGCGCGGCGCGCTGGGCAGCGGCGGCGGGCTGCGCGGGCGGCGCCGGCTGCGGGGGCGGCGCTGCAGCTGGGCGCGGCCGCCAGGCGGACGGAGCCGGCGCTCTGGCAGACGCGCGGCGGCGGCGGCGGCGGCTGCCCGGGGCGGGGCTGGAGGCGCGGCGGCACCGGCGGCAACCGCCGCGCGGCGGCGGCGGCCGCGGCGGCGCCCGGCGGCGCGGCGCGCGCCCCACGCCAGCGCGGCGGAAGCGGCGCGCCCGGCGGCGGGGGGTGGACGGCGCCGGCCGGGCCGCCGAGCTGCGAGCTGCCGCGGCGGGCTGCTGCGGCGCCGGGCTGCGCCGGGGCGCCGCTCGCTGACTGAGCTGGAGGAGCTGGGCGACTAGCCGAGCGGGGTCCGGGCTTTCCCGCGCCCCGCTCGGGAGGTGTCGTCGCGACGCTCCTGGAGCTCAGAGCGGGCGCAAGCGCGGGCGCGGCGGCAAAGGGACCCGCGCCGCGGCCTTCGCAGGAGGAGGACGGCGAGGAGGAGGAGGAGGAGGAGGAGGAGGAGGAGGAGGAGGAGGAGGAGAGGAGGAGAGGCGGGAGGAGGGGGATTGGGAAGGGGAGGGGAAGGGGGAGGGGGAGGGGAGGGGGAGGGGGAGGGGGAGGGGAGGGGAGGGGGGGGGGAGGAGGAGGAGGAGGAGGAGGGAGGAGGGAGGAGGAGAGGAGGAGGAGGAGGCAGGAGGAGGAGGAGGAGGAGGAGGAAAGAGGAGGGGGAGGGGGAGGTGGGGGAGGAGGAAGAGGAGGAGGGCGCCGTTGCGGCGGAGGAGGAGGAACCCCGCTCCTCAATCCTCGGGCCCCCCTGCCGCGGAGGGAGTCCGACCTCGACCGCCTGTCCACCGTCTCCAGCGGGGCATCCGGCGGCTCCGACCAGCCCGCGGCCCCCAGCGAGGCGCCCCCGTCGCGCCGGTTCTGCGGCTGCCGCGGGCGCCCGCCCGCCTCCCACTCACCGACCGTGTTCCACTACTCGCAAAGTGTTTACTCGCAAATGTCCGAAACTCGCACGTCGATATTGATGTAATTTATCGTAGATCCCCCGCGGGGTATCCAGGCCATTTGCGAGTAGTTACTTTGCGAGTGGTGGAACGCGCTCGTCTACCCACGACGTGCTTGGCGCCTCTCCTCGATCTCTGGCCTTTTGGGGCCCGTGGTGCACGGTCGGACCGGGGTATAAGAGCGAGGGCGGTTCGGGGAGGGTATTTTAATGCTTTTCGTGCTCGCTGGATGCTCTTGCGCATCCTGGGGGAGGGCACCATCGAATGTTCTTCAGCTTGGCCCGCGGAGGGCTTCATGTTCCGAAAGGGCGTCCTTCTGTCCTAGGTTTGGCCGTATCCCGACGAAGAAACACATCGGCGCAGACATAGCGCTTTCGGAGCTCCGCGCGGGGCTCTTCATTTCAGTGGAGGGAAGGCCACCCCGACCCACACCATCGGCGTGTGCCAAAGGGCCCACCTACTCCGCAGCCCTGCCTTGTTCGATTCCACCCCCGGGTGCGCTTACTGAACCGCGTTGCTTGTCGGGGTGCTTCTCGTGAAGGTGGCTTTTCTGCTCTCGATTTCTCTTCCTCCGAGGGGCCTGGGCGGCAGACGGGCTCCCTTGGAGGGGGAATCGAGGCCTCCAGCTGGCCCGCGCCTGTCCAGCGTCTGGGGTCCGCGGGCCCCCGCCTCTTGGCAGCCGCCCGCCCCTGCGAGCCGGGAGGCCACGAGGGGGCTGCGCGGGCGGGCAGACATCCAAGTCCACCGTTCCCCGAGCCGCTGGGACGCTTCGCCGCGGCAGTGGGTATGGACCTGCTCTGGCGGCACAGCGCCCCCCCCGTCCTGGAGCCCTCCCCTGCCTTGCCCGGCACCTCGTCGGTGACACTCCGTCCGCCCGCGGGGTCCACGCCCCAGCCGGCGCCACGGCCCAACAAGGGGGGGCGGCGGCTGGCATACCCGGAATTCGAGCTCGGCGCGGCGGTCGGGGCTCAAGAGACGGGGGCCACTGCAAACGGGGGTCAGCCAGAGCGCTGGATCTTGCAGGATCCTGTAGAGTCAGGGGTGCACTGGCCCGGGCTTCTGCCCGCAGGATCCTGAGGGATTCTGCAAGAAAGACCCGACTGGCCAAGGCGTGCATGGACCTTGGCCAGCGCGTCCCCGAAAGGAGCAGCGCATGGGCATGCAGCTGGCTCGCGGTCTTGGGGGGGGGGTCCTTCCGTGCTCTTCGTGTCTGGGGCCTCTCGTCCACAGCCCCTGGCTCCAGGCCGCGGCGGGGCCTCCCGCACTCCACAGGGGCGCCCGACGCAGCCGGGCCCCGACCCTGCGCGCGGGCCGCGCGCCGGGCCACCTCCTGCGCCCTGCAGCTCTGGCGCCCCGTCTGGCCAGGTGGGGACCTGGTTGGGACCCCCCCCCCTTTGGCGACCCTGGGGATCGGGTGGGGTGCGGTGAAAAGTCACGATCAGGGGCGCCAGTCTTGTCCTGGGACTGTGCGCAGCCTGGGGCCTGCCGCACGCACCCAGCGACCTGGTACAGACGGACTTTCACGCGACACCGACGATCCCCCCGGAGGCTCCCAGCCAGCCAGTCGGGCTCAGCTGCCACATCCTCGCCAGCGACCGCGACGGGGGTGGACCCCAGGGGGGGGCCCTGGAGAAGGGCCCCAACCGGACGCTCAAGGCAACGTGCTCCCACGGAGCTCTGAGCCTCTGGACGGCCCAGGGGACCCTCCCGAAGGCGAGTACTCGAGGACCTCTCCCTGCTCCCCGGTGCCCCCCTCTCTGCGCCAAACCCGGGGTGCCCTCCCTGCGGCACGGCGCGCCCCGCCCCGGGTGCGACGGTGGCCGCAGGGAGGGCTCTGCCTCATTCCAGCGTTTCTGCACCGACTACTGTCCCCGCGACACCTCAAAGCGAAACTATCAACTTTTTCCGAGCGGTTCGCTTTCGATTTCGCTTTCTTAACTATTAACTTTTTCGGGGGAGCTTCGCTTTCGCTTTCGATTTCCTAACAATTAACTATTATTTTCTGCGCTTCGCTTAGTCATTCCCGCCGTGACGCTTTGACGTGTCGCGAGGACAGTAGGCGCGCACCTGGGCCTGGGGGGGAAGGTGGGGGGGAGGGGAGGCGAGCACCGCGGGCGCCCTCCGCGCGGCGCGGCGCACCCCGCCCCGGGCGCGGCGATGTCTGCAGGGAGGGCTCAGCCCCATTCCACCGTCTTTGCGCGGATCAGGGGCGCACCCGGACCAGGAAGGGAGGAGGGGGGAGGAGGAGGCGAGCGCCACGGACGTACTCCGCGCGACGCGACGCACCCCACCCCGGGTGCGGCGGCGTCCGCAGGGAGGGCTCAGTCTTTTTCCATCGTCTTTGCACCGATCTAGCGCGCGCCTGGACCCAGGGCGGAAGGGGGAGGAGGTGGAGACGAACGCCGCGGACGCCTTCCGTGCGACACGGCGCACCCCACCCTCTGGGCGCGACGATGTGCGCAGGGAGGGCTCATTCTATTGGTTTTGCGCCAATTAGGTGCGCATCTGGACCTGGGGCCGAAATTGGAGGAGGAGGAGGCGGAGGAGGAGGAGGAGGAGGAGGAGGAGGAGGAGGAGGAGACGATCGCCACGGACGCTTTCCGTGCGACACGGCGCACCCCACCCCGGGTGCGACGATGTCCGCGGGGAGGGCGCAGCACCACTCCACCATCTTTTCGCCGATTAGGCGCGCACCTGGACTTGCCCGGGAAGAGGGGGGGGAGGGGACGAGCACCGCGGACGCACTCCGCGCGACGCGACGCACACCACCCTGGGTGCGACGGCGTCTGCAGGGAGGGCTCAGCCTCTTTCCACGTCTCTGCGCCGATTCGGTGCGCACCCAGACCTGGCAGGGAGGGGAGCGGGGGTGGCGAGCACCGCGGGCGCCCTCCGCGCGACTCGGCGCGCCCCGCCCCGGGCGCGACAATTTTCGCAGGGAGGGCTCAGTCATGTTCCACTGACTCTGCGCCGATTAGGTGCGCACCCGGGCCTCGGAGGGAAGGTGGGGGATGGGCGCCACGGGCACCCTCCGCGCGACGCGACGCACCCCGCCCTGGGCGCGACGGCGTCCGCGGGGAGGACATCCCATCGGCCTTGCACCGTTCAGGTGCGCACCTGGACTTGGAAGGGACGGGGAAGGACGTGGAGGCGAGCGCCACGCATGCCCTCCGCGCGACACGACGCACCCCGCCCTGGGCGCGGCGATGTCCGCAGGGAGAGCTCAGCCTTACATATACCATTGCCCTTGCACCGATTAGGTGCGCTCCTGGGCCTGGAAGGCGGGGGGAGGGGGGGGGGGCGGTAAGCAGTGCGGATGCCCTCCGCGCGACGCGGCACACCCCGCCCCGGGTGCGGCGATGTCCGCAGGGAGGGCTCAGCCACGTTCCACCGCCCTTGCAACGTTTGGGTGCGCGCCTGGATCTGGAGGGGAAGGTCACCACCCACCAATCCACCCCAACCCAACCAGAAGGTCCCGATTTGCCCTCCATTTCCAGTGGGGGGGGGGTCGGGGAACATCGGAAAAACACATAATTATGGAACCCGTGCCCCCCCCAACCCGAAATTCGGGTCTTCGGGTTGGGTTGGGGGGGTCCGGTAGGTAGTCAGAAGGGGGCGGAGGAGGAGGAGGGGAAGGGCGCCTCGGCTGCTCTCCGTGCGGAGAGGCCGCGGGACGCTCGAGCCCCGACTCCGGCGACGGCACTCGGCGCAGAACGCGGGCCCCATGCAGCCGCGCGCGACAGACTCGCACAGAGAACCTGGCAGCAGGCAGCCCCTCCCTGCAGTCGAGGCCTTGACCTAAGGAGCCCTCAATAAGGAACGAAGCCCATTTTTCCGATAAGTTCAACCTCGATTTCCCATGGAAAATTTCAGGAAAAAACCGAGGCAAACTGCGAAACAATCAAGGAACACCGAGCCCCTCCCCAACGAGAAGCGAATCGCCTCCCGCAGGGCAGCGCACCCAGCGGGGCCGCGACGGGCGCCCGGGCAGCACGCCCGGCGGACCGCCGACGGCTGCGCGCGGCCCGCCCTGCCACGGGCCCCACCGCGCATCCCCCGCCCCCTTGCGCACCGACGTTCCCCGCCCCAGTTTCGACGCTTCCCCCGGGGCGAGTGCGACGCCTACCCGCCCTCCCCAGCCATCGGTCCCCAGCCCGCCTTTCCCGGCGCGCAGCGAGCACCTTCCCGCGCCCGCTGCTGCCCGCGGGGAGGGAACGACGCCCGCCCGTCGCCTCAGGCCGACCGAACGCGCATCGGGCGAGCGACGAGGAGGGAGCGAGAGAGAGTGCCTCGAGGGCCCTCTCGGTCGACCAGCTACCCCTGGAGAGCACGACGCCAGTGCACCGTCTCGCGCTACGGGTAGTTGCGCACCCCGTGGGGAAGGCCTTGAAGCCCCCCCTTGGTCGACCTGCTACCCGCGGGGAGCATGGCGCCAGTGCGCCGTCTTGCACCGCGGACTGGCGCGCTCTCAGAGCAGGCAACTCAGGCGACGACCCAGACGCTGGGCCCAACCTCAGCCCGGCGCCCCCTCGGCCCAACACCCCCCACCCCGGGCCCCGCGAGGCCTGGGCGAAGAGCGCGGCCATCCCGCGATGAGTCACACCCCTGCCGGACAGGGGCCCGTGCAACTCGTGAGTCGGAACGAGCAGGCGCCTCTCTGACCGGCCATGCCGAGCCGTCGTGGCTACAGGTGGCACCTTGGCACACGCACGTGTCGCCCAATCGTACTCGCTGACCTTTCCTTGATGCATCTCTGGCTCCAGACGCTCCCCTGAAGCAGTGCCAACGAAAACGAAGGGGCGGCATTTGAAGTGAACTCAGCCGCAACCCAGCTGCCGGCGACCCCGCCAGGGGACAGCGCGCAGACCATGCTGGGGCGCTCGACGGGCCAGGCGCCCCGAGCACCCTCGGCCGCCCCAGCGGTCCCGACGGCAGCGCGCAGGCGCGGGGGGCGGCCGGAGGCGATTGCCCGCCCGCAGCCAACGGGCTCGCTCGGGACGGCGGGGACGCCAGGGCGAACGGTGCGCGCCAGCGGCAGAACTTGCCAGCAGCCCCCGCGAGACGTTCAGCCTGGGAGGGTGCCCGATCGGACCGATCCCGCGATCGAGCGGAGTGATCACCTCGGGTCGACGTCGATCGACCGCACGGATCCGCCGAGTAGTCCGCGGGCGATTTACACACACCGTGCCGTGGCCACCTCCCTGGTGCATTTTTGCAATTGTCGATTTGCGCATGATAGTGGTGCATGGTGCTCATCATCGGGGTTCTGGGGCTCATTATCGGCTTCTGGGGCTCATTATCGGCCTCTGGGGCTCATCATCGGCCTGTGGGGCTCATCATCGGGCCCAGTGGCTGTTAGAAATAAACCTGGGGCGACACATGATACCCAGGGAAGGAGTCGGGACCTCCAGGAAAGCGGTCGGGACCTCCCTACTGGAGGATCGAAATGGAGACGGAAAGAACGGAGCCGAAGACCAGCAGTCTCTCCTATCCATCTCGAACAGGAATGGCGGTCGGTGTCTCCGCGGGCGCTGTCGAATTGAGAGAGACATGTGCCGACCCAACAGCGGCCGCTGTCGGTTTTGGACAACAGTCTGTTGCTGGACATCGTGACCCGCTTCGGGCGTGCCAGCTGGCATGCCCGAGGGATGAGCCCTCGGGCGTATATGCATTTCTGGTGCACCCATTTCGGGCGCGCCGTTCTCTCTAGCGCGCGGCCCCATGGATGAATCCTCAGGGCCGCGCGTTGGAGAGATTACACCGTCCGCACGCCTGGGCTCCTGGGCGCCGCGCCAGCAGGGGAGGCCACGGCGCGTGAGCGGCGATGGCGTCGTGGAGGCAGCCTGGGCCGCCGCACAGGCAGCCGCCCAGTCAGCCCTACGGCGGCAGGGGCGCTGGCGGGCACCGCGCCGGCAGGGGCGGCCAGGGCGCTAGGAGGGGCTCGATGCGATCACGCGCAAGAGTGGCCTTTCGCCGGGGGTGACCTCTGGTGCGGGCAATCAGGCCGCCAGCACTGGGTGGCGCAACAGGATTGCGTGGATTTGTTCTCCCTCGCGGCTCCCTGAAGCCGCACACCAGAGATCCCTCCTGCCTGGGGTCGCCCTTGCGTGCAGCCGGGACGTGGGAGCCACCCGCTCCGGCGAAGGAGCTCGCCGCGTGCAGGGGAACGAACAATGGCATGAACATCATAACAATAACAGAATAACTCGGACCGAGCTCCGCGTGGGCTTCTCAGATCTGGCGCGCGGAACGCGCCAGGGGCGTCGCATGGCGTCGCCGGAGGCGCCGCCGGGGGGGCCCCCCAGCGCGGGTCCGAGAACTCCGCGCGGACCTCCGATGTCTTTGAATGTTTTTGTCGCTGCTCGTTCCCCCGCCAGCATCCCACAGCTCTGGGAGCCGGACTGTCCAGGGGCCGAGCTCCTGGGCCGACGGGACGGCGCGGCACCCGGAGGCCTCGAGGCCCCTCCCGAGGCGCGCGGTCGCGCGGCGCAGGCGCCGTGGCCGCTGGGCCGCCGGCCGCGGGGGAGTTCGACTGGGCCGCGGCGGAGCCGCTGCCGGGGCCGCCGGAGGTGCGCACCCTGGCGTCCTACTCTCGGCGGCGCGCAGAGGTGCGCCCCCTCGCCGGCGTGGCCTCCAGCTGCCTCCGGTCCCGCGGGGGCGCCCAGCTGGGTGATGGCGAGGTGGACCAACGGGTTCGACTATGCGCCAGTATTCGCGCGTGGGCTGACCGCGTGAGGTGCTCCAGCGCAGGCGCCCTCTTTTCCAATGCGGCGCTCCGCGTTGGCGGCCCGCGTATGCCACCGCGTAGGGTTGCTACGTCATCTCTCGTAAGGCCCGTTTCTTTTCGTCGCTCAGCTGGTGCCCCCGTGGAACTTCGAGCTAAACGATGCTCTTATTGCCGTTTTAAGCCTGTGGAGGCCCTCGCTGGGCGCTGGGAACGTCAGCACAACGACTCAGGATGAGACGCTGGCAGGTCGTGATTTCTTGGAGCTCGTATGCAAAAAGGTCAAGACATCGGATTTTTGGGCTTGGGGGGCGCGCTCCCTCAAAGCAACGCGCTGGAAGTCGCCTCGGCGAGGGCCGCCCGTGCGTGGAGCCGATGCTCTTACGTGCACAAGTCCCCGGAGGCCATCGACGTTGTCTCCCCAGCCTGGAGCGTGCGAGTGCTGCAGGAGGTGCCGGAGGTTCCCCGCCTTCCTTATGGTGGTGTAGCCGTTGCGGGGTCCTCCTTGTGGGGTCTGTGCGGGGTCTTGCTTGCGGGATCCCCCTGTGGGGCGCCGCCTGTGTGGGGGGGCTCCTGCCAGCGGGGGAATGGTGGGGTCCTCCCTGTGGGAGGCTCCCCACATCGACCTCTGCCTGGAGCGCAGCCTGGAGCCCCTGCAGGCGCCCGACGGCGGCTTCGAGCTCACTGTGGAGCTGGTGGCGGCGCTGGGCCTCGCGGAGCCCGGCCGCGTGCTCGCCGAAGCCGCGGCCCCGGACGCGCGCGTCCTCGGCGCCCTGCTGGTGCTCAAGGCGGCGGCGCACTACATGCCGGAGAGATGGCCGCCGCTGCTCTGGTCGGTGTGCTCGCGCGCAGAGGGCTTCGCCAGCGGCCACCTCGGGCTCACGTCCGAGGGGCTGTGGGCCGCGCTGGGCGCGGTGGGCGACGCCCTGGAGCCTCCCGCCTCGCTGCCGGGCCGGATGGTCGCCGCGCTCCTGGCGAACTTCGCGCCTCCCGGGCGCTGGTCGTTCTTCGAGCTCTGGCCGCGCCTGCTCTCCGAGAGCACGCGCGCGGCGCTCCGCGAGGAGGGCGCGTGTTTCTGCCCCCGCTTCTTCCTGGTGGACCTGGCGTGCGCCGGGGCGTCGCCGTACGACATCGACAGGGGTTTCCCCCTGGTGCGCCGGGGCGCCAGCTTGTTCGTCGGCCAGCCCGGCGGCGAGGATGGCGGGGGCCGCGACGCCATGCGACAGGGCCGGCAGCTCGAGGCGGCCCTGGTGTCGTTCGGCTGGCTGGAGGAGGACCACGTGCTGACGGAGCTGCGGCTCCCGTCGCCCGCCTCCGCCACGGGCCCCGGCGGCCCGGGCCAGCGCGGCGCGGTGCGCGCGGTGTACTCCGCCGCGCCGGACGCGGTCGAGGCGCACGGCGACGCCCTGGCCGCGGCCGCCGAACCGCTGCGCGGCGGGGACGAGCAGGCCTACGAGGCTCGGGCGGGGCTGGGCGGTGATAAATCCGCTCTCGGGCCGTTCCAGAACGCTCTCAGGGCGCTCCGGATCGCCCCGAGGAGTCCGCGGCACCCAATACAGTAGAGCCGCCGAATCTCAGAGATTCCCGATATATCATCACCAGATTTTCTCCTCGCCCTCGCTTCGTCTTAGAGGCCGCGGGGTACACCCTCGAGGCCGTGCTGCCGGTGGCCACGGGGGCGCACGAGAAGTGCAGGATTTGGAGGTCGCAGCGCCAGGGGGCGCCGGCTGGCGCGTACGTGGAGGTTAAGAAGACGACGCACTTGCAGGGGTCGCCAGGCGTGTTCAAGATCACGAAATTCTGGTTGCAGGCCGCTCTGATGGGTTGCGGGGGCGTGGTCGTTGCCACGACGCAGGGGTCCTCCGACGGCAACGTCGCCTGCGGCGTGCGGCGCATGAGCGTAGAGCAATGCGAGCAGCAGGTGGAGGCCTGGCGAATCTGGGGCATGCTGGAGAGCATGCTGCGGCACATCCTGCAAGCGACTGCTGCCTCGCAGGGCCGCTGGACGCTGCGGATCCAGAAGGTCAGGGGCTACGGTGCTCGCGTGAAGCTCCTGCTCCAGCCAGGCTGGCACAGCGACGAGTGGCTGCTCGACGACGGGCTTGCTGGCATCGAGGAGCGCCTGATAGGGCTCTTCGACTGAGCGCACGTGCGGCTCCCTGGGGCCACCAGGCGAGGCGTCTGGCTTGGGGTTCTTTGAGCGGTCCCGGCGTCAGGAGCGCGCCGCCTCCTCGCGCTCGCCCCAACAGTTTCACCGTGGCAGCGGGATCTTGCTCTCCGCCCTCGCTCAGCCTGGAGCCGCATCGCGATTGGTTGGCCCAGAGCCGAGACGCAGCAGGAGAATCCGTGACACGAGCGGAGGAGGACGAGGAGGAGGAGGACGAGCACAGGGAGAGAGAGGCCCCCCCTCCCCTCGCCCTCCACGTGCGGGCTGCGAGGGCTCGTGCACGGACCTGGCCAGGCCCATCCAGGCCCCCGGCCAGGCCCAGAGAGCGCGCGCACCGATCTTGGGTCGAGGAGGGGCCTGGGCAGGGTCGGCGCGCGTCGGCATCCTTCACCACCCACCAAACCACCCCAACCCAACCCGAAGGCTCAGATTTGCCCTCCATTTCCAGTGGGGGGGGGGTCGCGGAACATCGAAAAAACACGTATGAAACCCTTACCCCCCCCCAACCCGAAATTCGGGCCTTCGGGTTGGGTTGGGGTGGTCTGGTAGGTAGTCAATCCTCCTTCATTTCAGGAGGGGAAAAAACACACAGACACCATGAATCGTCGATTCCCCAGAAAACAAGTGGCGCGCGTGCCCTGGCTCTTGCACGAAGGAGCCGCGAGAGACAGGAGGCTTTCGCCTCCTTCCTCCAGGAGTTTATTTTTGTGGCCGCCGGGGGGAGGACGAATGACGAGCGAACGACGACGACGAGCGAAAATAAAGAGGTCCGAGCTCTAGAACACAGCTGCGCAAGCTAACAAAGGGTCCAGGGCGAGGGGGACTGGGGCCAGGGCCGGGGGGGGGGGGGAGGCTGGGTCCAGGGCCAGGGCCAGCGGGGCAAGGGGGGCGGGGGGCCAGGGCCAGGGGAGGAGGCAGGGTCCAGGGCCAGGACCAGAGGGACGACGACAAACGAAAATAAAGGGTCCAGGGCGAGGGGAACTGGGGATAGGGCCGGCGGGGGGAAGGCTGGGTCCAGGCCCTGGGCCAGCGGGGCAAGGGGAGCTGGGGCCAGGACCAGGGGGGGAGGTTGGGTCCAGGGTCAGGACCGGACCAGGGACCCAGCGGGGCGAGGCGGGCTCCACGGGGCCAGGACCAGGTGGGGAGGTTGGGTCCAGGGCCAGAATCGGACCAGGGACGACGAACGAAAACAAAGGGTCCAGCAAGGGGGGGGGTTGGGTCCAGGGCCAGGACCAGACCAGCTGCCAGGGACGACGACGAGCGAAAATAAAGGGTTGCCAGGGCGAGGTGGGCTGGGGCCAGGGCCGGGGGGGAGGCTGGGTCCAGGGCCAGGGTCAACGGGGCGACGGGGGCTGGGGCCAGGGCCAGGTGGGGAGGTTGGGTCCACGGCCGGGACCAGAGGGACAACGACAAACGAAAATAATGGGTCCAGGGCGAGGGGGACTGGGGACAGGGCCGGCGGGGGGGAGGCTGGGTCCAGGCCCTGGGCCAGCGGGGCGAGGGGAGCTGGGGCCAGGACCAGGTGGGGAGGTTGGGTCCAGGGCCAGGACCGGACCAGGGACGACGACGAGCGAAAACAAAGGGTCCAGGGCGAGGGGGACTGGGGCCAGGGCCGGGTGGGGGGGAGGCTGGGTCCAGGGCCAGGGCCAGCGGGGCGAGGGGGGCTGAGGCCAGGACGGGGTGGGGAGGTTGGGGCCAGGGTCGGGACCGGACCAGGGGCCGGGGACGACGACGAACGAACGAAAACAAAGAGGTCCGAGCTCTAGAGCACAGCTGTGCAAGAGAATAAAATGGTCGGGGCGAAGGGGGCGGCGCGCTGGGCTGCTGGGGAGAGGGGGATGGGGCGGGGGGGGGGGTGGGGGCGACGACGACGCCGAATAAGTTGGTCGGGGCGGAGGACGGACGGTCTCGTGGCTGCTGGGGCTGCTGGGG